TCTGAGCTCTTTGTTCTAGATGTGTCCCTCTTGTGGGTGTCCCTTTTGTGGTTTCTTTATGTTCTCCTGTTGTGGTTGGGTCTAGATTGTTATTGATCAGTCCTTGGGAGGACTCTCCTCTCAGGTTGACTAACTGTGTCTCAGCCCCAACCTCGTCATGTAAGCTGTTGTACCGATGGTGGCAAGGCAGGACAATACACAATTAAAATTCCAGGAAACAAGAGGTATCTTACAAAATATCTTGACAGTCACAATGAAAACAACCCTTGTGAAAATATAACTGGGAGACTGAAGGGAGAACACACACACACACAAAAAAAAATGCTTAAGAAAGAGAAAGAAAAGTAACGCTTATAGAGAGATGTATATTGTTGTTAATACTGGTGAAAATTTAGAAAATAATAATAAACTAAAATGTAAAAAATAGAGAAGCTACTGGGAGATAACAGAAGCAGAGAAAAGATTCTGAAAGAAGGGCCAGCAAAAAATTAAGGGAGAGAATAGGAATAGGATAATAGTTGAAAATGAGAAAACAAAAATACAATAAAGAGAATAAGAGAAACTAACAATCAAACAGAAAGACAGGGAGACAGAAGGGAGGATAACAAAAGAATGAAAGAAAAGTAGAAAAAGCAAAAAGAAAAAGAAAAAAAAGTTATGCCAATGGATCAAGAGGAGAGAGAGATATATAGCCCAGGCAGGGAGGGAGTCTGGTAAGAGATTTGGTGGAAATGATAGAGGAATGCAGTAAACTTGGTTATAATGATAAAGTCCCAATCGTTANTATAATGATAAAGTCCCAGTCGTTGAGCAGGGATATCAAGGAAGTCTTGATAGTAGAAGCAAGGATAAAACAAAACAAAGCAAATAACCAAAACAAAACTAAAAACAAGCAAAGCAAAACAAAATTCTTTTATAAAAAAAAGAGAAAAAAGTTTAGTTAAAAAATGTTAAAAAAAAAATTATTATAAAATTTAAAAAAGAAGAAAAAACAAATAAAATTTTCCCCCTTTCTCTTCTTCCTAAGGGAAAAAGAGAACAAACAAACACACAAACAAAAAACAAACAAATAAAACAACCACTGAAAACAAATAAACAAACAAAAAAGAAGAAAAAAAGACAATCAGGTGAGTTTCTTCTGGGCAGCTTATGTTGTCTGAGGCTCTGTTTTGTGTGCTGATTTCTGTTCTCCTCAGAGGTACATGAGTATCAGCCAATGTGAGGAGCTATCTAGGTTTGGCTCTGGTGTCCTTAGGTAGATGGTTGATCTGAGGCTCTCCGTGGGCCATCTCCTCTTGTAAGCTATTTTGCAACTTTGTAGTTGCCTGGTCTTGCTCCAGAGTCTTCTGTAGAGTCTTTAGGGTGCAGGGTGTCTAGTGTAGTCCAGGGTATTACTCCCCTTAGAGGTTTCACTGTCAGGCACTCACTGTGCGGGAGTTAGTCTCTGCTCCAAAGCTAGCTCCTCAGTCCCTACCTTGTCCTCTGATTCTAGTTCTNGGAGTTAGTCTCTGCTCCAAAGCCAGCTCCTCAGTCCCTACCCTGTCCTCTGATTCTAGTTCTCCAGGCTCTGTCCTGCTGCAGCTTCACATTGATTTCAGCCTGTTGCCTTTTCTGTTTGGGCCATTTCAGCAGCCTGGGCTCAGTGGGTTCGATTAAAGAACATTCTAGTGAGCCCTTTGCCTGCCCACCCCCAGCAGGGGTTTTTCAGCTTTTCCTCCAGTTCCCAAACAATAGTCACGAGAGTCTTATTCTCGTAAAGTCTATGACCTGCTCTTTCTTCCCCCTTAGGACTGTGCCCTACAGGTGCGTCTGGGGCCTCAGTGAGCTGGACCCGCCCCTTTCCTGTTGGGGGTGGTGCTCCCAGGCTGCAGGAGAGGCGGTGGGCTCCGCCCCTCCCTGCCCAGCTCTGGTTGGCTGGACACATCAGGCCGGCCCCAGCCCCCGCTGGTCTGTCCATGAAGCGCACTCTGGGAAGGTGGGAGCCAGTTCCTCGATCAGAATCAAAAAATGCACAAAGCAACACACAGGCAGAGAGTTGCCAAGGCACCCAGCCGGATGGGACCCAAAGTCAGCTCCATGCAGCTCCCCACACCGCTGGTCTCAGCAAAGCTGGGGAGGCTTTATGCGCCACCACGGCGCCCCTCAGGGCTGGTCACAGGTCCCAGCCTTGCCCCAGCAGGAGCTCAGCACCACCAGGGCGCCCTCAGGGCTGGTCACAGATCCCAGCCTCTCCCCAGCAGGAGCTCAGCACCACCAGGGTGCCCTCAGGGCTGGTTGCAGATCCCAGCCTCTCAGCACCAGGAGCTCAGCACCACCAGGGCACCCTCAGGGCTGGTCACAAGTCCCAGCCTCTCCCCAGCAGGAGCTCAGCACCACCAGGGCGCCCTCAGGGCTGGTCACAGATCCCAGCCTCTCCCCAGCAGGAGCTCAGCACCACCAGGGCGCCCTCAGGGCTGGTCGCAGATCCCAGCCTCTCAGCACCAGGAGCTCAGGGCAGGGAGGGCTCCTCCCCTCCCCTCCACCACGCAGATTCAGCACTTTCTGGGGCTCAACACACTGCCTTACAGGGAGGCAGAGGGTCCCCGTGTGCGCCGCTCAGTGCAGTCCTTTGGCCCCTTAGTACTCGGGTGCCACAGACCTTGGGGCAGCCTTCCCAGTGGTCGGCACCCAGAGCACTAGACGCCGGTCGAAGCCGCCACTAGAAGCTCTGTTTCCTAGGAAGGCGCCGTGGGCCGTCAGAGGCTTTGTTTCCTAGGAAGGCGCCGATCCCTCCAGGACTCACCGCTTCCCGGGGTCTCTCTGCCCTGTGCACGGGGCGCTCCTTCCCCTCTCTGCTCCGGGTGTGGGGTCCCCACTTTTGGAGGCCGTCCGCACCCCCGAGAGGAGGGAGCTTTGCAGCCTCCAAGCCTCCGGGCTCGGCGCCCAGCACAGGCTTCAGGGCGCCCCCCCCCGTCTTACTGGACTCCCNCCACTTTTGGAGGCCGTCCGCACCCCCGAGAGGAGGGAGCTTTGCAGCCTCCAAGCCTCCGGGCTCGGCGCCCAGCACAGGCTTCAGGGGCTCCCCCCCGTCTTACTGGACTCCCTGATGTTTCTTCAGTGCTCCCCCCTCGCACTCCGTCCACTCAGGTATGTTTCTCTCTTTTTTCCAAGCTCGCTACGTAGGATTTTAGGAGTAAATTGAGTCTGTTTCTCACAGGGCGGCCATCTTCCCTCTCTGTTGTTTCTTGATACAGTTTTGAAAGACTGTATGGATCGCTTCTCGGCCTTTCGGCTAAGATCAAGTGTGAAAGACTGTACAGTATGTTTCTAGGAATTTATCTATTTCTTCCAGACAATCCAATTTTTTGACATATAGTTGCTTGTACAATTTTCAAAAGGGAAACCCAATACTGCTTACTTGGAAAGGAATTTGTTCAGATTTCTGATTCACCAATCATATCTTTTTAAAAAGAGTTTAAGCCAAAACAGAAGAATATTCATTTTGTCTAAAAGCATATGATTTTATATTCAGTCAATACTAGTTATTATCTCCTCTGTTGCTAGTTTTTGCATTAGTTCCCAGCCAGACTCAAATATTCTAAATTTTTTTGTTCAACTGACCTGAACCTATCCGCAATTCGGCTTTTGCTCCAATTCGCTATTTTCTCTATCAGCTTTTGCTTTACTTTATTTTATATTTTATTTTGGTGTATTGCCCCTTTCTGACTTCACTACTACCATTCAAAGGTTTGCCAATAGCAATCTAGAAATGTATATGGAACAGAGGAATGGGAAAAAGCAGAGAGAATGGAGCACAGGTTTGCCAATGGTCAAGGCCATTCTGTGATTAGGAGAGCCTACATTGGAGATGAGCAAGGAAGCAACGAAGTCTTTAAACTGCATTTTCTGCATATGGCCAAGGAGCATGTTTTCTTTTCCTGGACCAACAAGTAACCCAATCCTTGGGTTATGTTTTTTCATCTCTGATGGGAACTGAAAACAGATGGTGATATTTTATAACCACTTCTTCTCTCTTTATGAGTGATCTGCTGCATCTCAAACCAGCCCTAGGGACAATTAACCAGGTTTTTAATTCTGTCCTCAATGTCTATTTCATGATCAGCTATAATTATCTATTTAAAAATCTTGTTGAGTTTAATATTTATTTATCCATGGTAGTCAAAACTATTTTTCTTATATTCAAGACTCACTTGAGAATGTAATGTTTCTGATGTTAATAGAAAGGTCTTCACTCTGGAGACTTCATTTTAAGAAGGATCCTCAAGCCCTTGAGTAATAACAAGGAACTTGTGAAGCCTGCATCTGATGTTTTGCCCCTTCAAGCTTTCCCTTACCTAATCAGGGAAATTATAAGAGATGACTAACCTCTGCTCAATACTTGATGCGTCAAGAATGTTTAATTACTTTTGCAGATAAATTTCAGAACCTTCCATGTTGCTATCATATTCCTGAACCATGTCCACAGATTTTTAAGTAATTTACTATATTAACATATTTTCTAAGCCATACCTATTCAATCAGACTTTTGCTCACTTCCTAGGACACTGTCCAACACATGTAAAATCCAATGTAAAGATTGGCTAGGGAGCACTTAAATTAATTAAAGCCTACAAATAAATTTCTTTCAGGGTATATAAAAATTTCTATTTTGCATGCTAGAATAAATAGGAATCAGAGAGAGAAATTTTATGTCAGAAACTGAACAAATGATCTGAACATTCTCATCAAAGTTTTCGTGAACTGTTTTGGGTATGTTTCTCAGTTTCCTCTTATTTTTCTCAATGTTTTTAAATAGCTGGAAACTATTCTAAACCGCAACTTCTTCTTTGAAGGCACACTTTATATTAGAGGTTTCTTAGCCTCATCAGAGTGTTTAGCTGTTTGTCTCATCTCTGGCCTATTTGAATGAAGCCAAGGCCCTGGGTAACATCTTCAGAGACACACACACACACACACACACAAGAGGATCCTGGGATTTCTGAACACAGGGAGTCCATATAATGGTGCAAGAAGGGCAATCTCAAGGTAGAGGTGAGCATTCCTTTTCTTAATTCCAGAGAGAAAGGTAAAAGCATCTGATGAGATGAAGAGTTTTCTGGAGAGAAGAGGTAGACAATGAGCAGACTGAAGGGCTAAAGATTGGACTACCGTAGCAGTCATGAGAAGTTAGAAGAAAGAAACATTCCTCAGAGTGAGAAGTACTCTACAGAATAAGAAACCAAATAATACGGTGGTATGAGAAGTAGGAGACAAAAGTGATGTTTTGAGAAAGATGGGGAATCCATGGGTGAATGTCATATTTAAGAGGAAAGAAAAGGGGAGTAGAAATTACAGTTGATTGAGGATGACTTTTCCCCAGATTGTTTAGGACTTCAGGGCTACTACCTGGTCATTTATTCTGAGGGAGTTTCTTTTTTTAAATTTTATTTATTTGTTTTATTGAATTTATTGGGTATACATTGAATAATAAAATTATGTAGGTTTCAGGTATACAATTCTACAATACATCATCTGTATATTGTATTGGTGTTTACCACCCCAAGTCAAGTCTCCTCCCATCGCCATCTGAGGGAGTTTTTAAGCTCTTTTCTTCTTTTAGGTTTTTAATTAATATGAGATTCTTCATGTAATTTCTTCATGGCTCTAAGCATCTTAGGAACTCTGGCTTCTTGGGCCCCTTGGTAATTGCATTTGTCTTGCATCTCTGACAGAAAAGGCAGTATGGTGGTTCCAAGTGAAGATCTGGTCTGTTGCTGTGATTTCCATAGCACTCCTTAGTGTTTGTTTCATTTTGAGTTGTGTGGGTAAGTTCTTCACTGAGGTGACTGACACTCTATTGATTCCTTTCCCTATTGTGTTCTATAGAGATTTCCTAAGGTGTGTTCTCCCTTATGCCATTCATATGTTAGCTGTTACTTGGAATGCCCTGCTTTTCTTGATTTCTTCTCTTCTTCCTCCATCTTTTAATAATTGATCCTGTTTCCAGGTATATTTCACTTGGTTTTATTAGTATATTCTCAATCATGACATCACATATGGATGGATGTTAATTATAATCATCTCTAAGACATCATTTTCCACTACATGGTTCACTAGTGATGACATGTTCTGTAGTTACAAAAGCCCTCTGTTGAGAATGCAACTAAAATTGCTACTATACTTTAGAATAGCCTCTTTGACTTTCTTGTGTGAGTCTTTTCTAATATAAGGAGAGTAAGTATTCAGATGAAATATTGGAGATGTAAGAGAATAAAATAATTTCTTTTCTGTTCCATTTGCCTCCAAATAAATATTTCAAATACATTTTGTGAGAAATCTTGAACACTTTTTTCTCTCTAATCTATAATTTTGTTCTCTGTTCACTGATAAAGTGATTAAAAGTAGTTATTAAGTAGTCTGGAAAGAAGTGAAAGTGACTTCATTTGTCAAATAGGTCATGTTTGAAGTTCCCTTCAGATATAAATTTCTTGGTCTTTACTAAAACACAGCTAATTATCATAAAGTTAAAATCTGCTTCATAAAGTTAGAATATGCTTCTCTGAAAGAGAGAAGAAGGTTTAAGAATAGTTATTTTATTAATCAAGAGGAAGCAGATTTTCAGGACTCCAAAGCCTAGGCTAAGAGAGAGGTAGAAAGGTTTGCCAGCATCGAGCTTCAGTAGTGGAAGTCAAGACAGAAATGAATGAGGAATCAGTTCAGGACCTGAGAGAGAACAAGTCTCGCTCAATGTGCACACCCTCGAATATAAAACTGAATGTTTATTTCAGACATTTAAAATGTCTCTAAATGTTTAAAGGCTCCTCTTTGTTTCTATTTAGCCCATATGTTTATCTGTCACTACCAACAGTCAGAAATTTTAGAAAATATAAAAATAATCTGCATGCTTGCTTCACGATTATGAAAATTAAGGAGAAGTAGACCTCCAGTGGGTCAACAGATATCTATAGATTATTTTTTGACAGTCTCTGTTCTAGGTGTTTGTGATTAATATATGTAGAAAAGAGATAGAATCTCTGTCCTAGAATATAGAGCTTACATTTCAATGGGAAAAGAGGGGAGGAAAAAGTTCAGGTTTATAAACAAATGAGATAAATAAATACAGACAAGCAGTAGTCGAACATGGTCTTTATCGAGTTTGACTAGAGAAAAGACAATGGTAGCAGTTAGAAGGAAGCCTGCTTGGCACAGATTTATAGAGCACAGAGCTTTATAGCAAAAGGATGGATGGATACTAATCCTTCTTCCTCTTCCACAGAGACTTATCATTTTACACATGGCAAAAATGACAAAAGGCTGTCTGAATTACGTACACATCACGCAAGTCTAACTTGCTTCAATGAAGGGACAAGGGTGACAGGTAAGGCGTTGCAATTCTTAACAGACTTTCTGTTTTCTCAGAGAAAGAGAGGTCAGGGCTGAGCTCAAGATTCATTTATTCTGTTTTTAAAAAATAAAGTCTCTGCTTGGATATCTCTAAACTTACATGTTCACATCAGGCTCTAGATTTGCCCTCCCCTAGACTTCTTGAGATCAAGAAGTGCTATTACCATACACCATGCAATTTACTCAAGCCAACCCTGGAAATTCTTCATAAAAATTTGTATTTCAAAGTATCCTTACCCTCATCATTTGGAGAATATTTCGTTTTGTTATCTAAAGTTCCTAGTTAATAGCACCCATCTCCATTTCAAGTACCCACTTTATTACTGGTCAATTTGGATGTTGAAACATGGCTCAGGAAGAGACTGTCCTCACTTTAAAATATGGTGCGGGTACCTTTATATGTGGACAGTTAGAGTTGAATTCAAAATCGTGGCCTGCCTTGCATCATGTCTAGTGAGAAATGCCAAAGAAAGGCAAAATACATGTTTGTAGTGTCCTTATGGCCGTACGCCTTCTAAGTAAAAAAAAACAAACAAATAGGTGTCAAACTCTTCGTATTCACTCCTCTGCTTTTATGGAAAAAAATCTATGAGAATTAAAGACAGCATGGAAGTTTCTGTTTCTACGACACGCTGGCATTTTTCTTTGTTTTTGTATTAGGTAAGAATACGGTGCATGGGAGTGGTGAGGAATGATTTTCATTACTCTCTCTGACATAGGGTTCTCTTGTCACTTTAAGGTTTGTTGTCATCGTTTTTAATCCTCACCTGAGGATATGTTTTCATTGCTTCTCAGAGAGAGAGAGAGAGAGAGAGAGAGAGAGAGAGAGAGAGAAACATCGATGTGAGAGACACACTGATTGGTTGCCTCCCGCATTCGCCCTGACTGAGGGCCAGGGATCAAGCCTGCACCGAGGTACCTGCCCTTGGCCAGAATCGAACCAGGGACCCGTCAGTCCTTAGTCAGATGCTCTAACCACTGAGACAAACCGGCCAGGGCTGTTGTTTTGTTTTTTATTGTGGAACTGGCACTTCTGGGGAGAAAAACATAATTGCATCAATATTGTCTTCATCTCACCATTTGAAGACTCTCCTATATCAACAACTGGAGTTTGAAAGACTGCCTCCTGGGAGCAGCAGTGGGTACTTTAGCCTCTGCCTTCAGAATGCTCTGAAATGAATGAGACAAAAATGGATATTAAGTAAATTAAACCCACATCCAGCTGGCACAAGAGACCGTTATAGCCCTTCAAGCTGTTTGATACAAAAAATTCAAGTTATAGATAAGCTTATATTGAGAAAATGACTTTACATAATACCATGTCCGGAAATAAAAGAGCTCAGATTTTAAGAATATCTTTTCAAATTATTATTACAACAAAAAGTTAAAAGTCTAGCTCAGCCAGGCGTGGCTCAGTGGTTGAGCATCGACCTAGGATCCAGGAGATCGGGGTTCAATTCCTGGTCAGGGCACATGCCCGGGTTGCGGGCTAGGCAGCCGATCAATGACTCTCTCATCATTGATGTTTCTATCTCTCTCTCTCCCCCTCCTTTCCTCTCTCTGAAGTCAATAAAGATATGTGGGTTTTTTTAAAAAAATCTAAACACAAAATTTCCCTTTTCATTAAAGGTAAAAAATAATTGAAATCCACATGTATCTTTTCCAATTTGTTGCCCACTCAGTCCCAGTCAGTGTTGAGATATTTAGAAATGTGAGCAAAGTCACAATTTCCTCAATAAGCCTGTACTTTGCCTACACCTGTGGTCTTTGAACTCTTTTGCTTGTCAACCCCCAGAAAGATCTTGAAAAACTTCATACCCCTTTACACAATTTAATCTGACATCTAAATTTTTTGGTCATGTAATAGAAGCAAAAGCTTTAATTTCTGGAACATTTTAAATGTTAACATTTAAAAACAAAACTGTTACACGTGTTTTAAAAATGTATCTCGGGTGTCTAGACACCATTACAAATCGTTAACTGCACTCCCATCATGTACATAAAAAAAGAAGAAAAACACACATTATTTAACACTCATGTGTCTTGCAACATTCTTTTCTGCCTTTGGAGGACTGACATTTACACAGCACTTCCCTGTCTGCCAAGATATGTAAATAAGAACGTCTAATATTTTTATTTCCTATGGAACATTAAGCTTTAAGTGTTATAAAATTTCTTCTGGATTGATTTATTACAATTATTATCAGAATATAATATTCCAACATTCCAAGTTTATTATAAATTTTGATAAATTATTACTAATAAAACAAAACTAGTGGAAGCCCTTCTTTTAATGAAACAAATGGACTTTAAAAAATGCAATCAGATGTACTTACTATTGAATAATTTTACTACCAAAATGAGGTAGAAGTCAACATCAATTCTCGTCTTACTTTTCACTTTAGTGACACAATCTGATAAATGTTACTCATCTAAATAAATTGATAGGATAGAAAGTGCTCTGTTAGAATGTCACCCAGTTTTTTAGTTTTTTTGCCAAAAATCATATAGTGATCTAGTATCAAAAATTATTTGTAATAATCTGTTCACTGAGAATTTGATTAGGTAATTTTTCAATGTTGTTGAATATAAAGAATAAGAAATAAAATAATTTACAAAAGGTTTGTTTTCTTCTCAGTCAATAGTCACTTTCTCAATTTCTGGGAATTACACCAAAAAGAGGATTATATAAGTCTTATCAAATGACTATTAATTATATTTCTTTTTATACTTGCAAAGCACTTTGATTAGCTCATTATTCTCAGCACAACTGGAAAAATAAAACATCAATAATGTCAGTATAGCCTTTTGACAAATGCTTTCTTTCATCACAGCTTTCAGTGGTGTTGTCAACATTGGAACTGGAGATTTGGCATATTTAACATATGAAAAATGTTTGCCATATATAACTTAACTGACAAAGCCAATCTCCACCATCAATACAGTCTGCCTAATGAGACTTTTAAAATTAAAATATTGTTAATACACACTTTAAGGTGTATTATGGAAAGCAATCTTTAATAATGAACAGAATGCATAATTAAGATAAATTTCCAAAAGTGGACAATAGTAAGATGATATAGATATGGTCTATCTATTTTATTCATATTATTATATTATAAAAGGAAGAATAATTCTATAGGTTGTTTCTAATCATTTAATATGTACATTTTAATGCAATAACATTTAAAATGAATAAAATAGAGCTATATGTAACAACATAAATGGGTTTTAGCAATGTGGAATAAAAAAATTAAGCCAAGAGGGCCACATATATTATGATACTTTTGAAAGATTTAAAATTCAACAAATCAAAACAACTTACTATTCAGGTATACATAAATATGTGCTAAAATTGTATATAAACATATATGTATACATGTATACTCAAAATAAGTCAGTGGATTGTATATGGTTAGCTAGAGATTTTTTTAATTCTAGGAGAATGGCAAACTGGTGTTTCTAAGGGGAAAGGAGAGAGAATTGATAATTTTTAAAACTCTTACATGCTTGATGCTGTGTAAAAATTAGCAATAGGTAACATTTATGAGCAATTATTCCATGTTAAGCATCTTTTAAAGTGCTCTGCACGTATTATGTGATTAAGTTTCCCTTTGGGTTTGGTACTATTGTTATTTCCATTTTAAAAATGAAATAAATAAAGCTCAAGGAGATTACGTAATTTGCCCAAAAGCATACATAATAAATGGTGGAGCCAGAATTCCAATGAGGCATAATTCTAATTCTCATAATCACCCTATGAATAATTCATTTCCATTTTAAAAACCTGAGGCTGTGGCTTGCCCAAGATTATTAAGTACAACTGGTATTTGAGATACACCTTTATTAGGCATTTGTAACTCTGATAGAACTTGGTGCATCTAATGTATAAGAAATACGAAGAACAGGAAAAAATTGATAGTGATATTTTGGCAAAAAAATCCAGAGGAATTCTGAAGGGAAACCTTGGTAAATATTGAGGATTTAATATTAAAGAATGTTTATTTAAAAGCAATTCTGTGGCTCCAAATTATATAATTTAGGAAACAGTAAATACATGAATTAAGAAGTCTATCTCTAGAAAACAACCTGAAATCCTTGGAATTTCACATGTATAGAACTTGCCTCTTTAATCTTATTTGTCTCATTTTGTATTCACTCTTCCCTTTCATGCAACATAGAAAAAGTCTGGGGATGCTGCCCAAGTACTTGGAAACCTTTTGGTTCTAGCTGCTACCTCATTTCTAATGAAGAGAATTCTTGGTCTAAGAGTGAGCAGAACTGTGTTGGGATGGGGGCTCATCTGGTGGTGATCAACACAAAAGTGGAGCAGGTACTTTTGTTTTCTTTATTTTTCATTTTCATTTAAATAAAAGAAATTTAATTAAAAACAAAATTTATTATCTTAACTGTTTTTAAGTGTACAGTTCAGTAGTTAACTATATTCACATTGTTGCAAAAAGATCTCTACAATTTTTTTTATTTTGCAAAACTGACACTTTATACCCATTGAACAACTACCCATTTCCCCTTCCCTTCAGTTCTTGGCAACCACCATCTGCATTCTGTTCTAAAATTTGACTGCTTTAGATACCTTGTATAATAGAATCATACGTCGTTTTTTTTTTAAGTCTTCACCTGAGGATATGTTTTTACTGATTTTTAGAGAGAGAGAAAGGCAGAGAGAGGGGGAGATATCTATGTGAGGGAGAAACATTGACCTGTTGCCTCCCCTACAGGCCCCAACCAGGGATGGAACCTGCACCCAGGGTAGGTATGTGCCCTAACTGGGAATCAAACCCGCAACCTTTGGTGTGTGGGAGGAAGTTCCAACCAACTGAGCCACTCAGCCAGCACCACATGTTTTTTTGTTATATACCACATGTTTATCCATTTAAAACCACTGAGATATATAAAATTCCTGGGAAGATAACAATATTGTTCCTTGGTGAGCAGGGTACTTTTAAAAACAGAAATTAATGTCATGGAAATTTTTGTGTTCTATAATACCCTTGGCTGAGGAGCAGCTTCCCTCCCCCAGAATGGTTGCCTTATGTCAGAGAATCTCAGGACAATGCACAGGAAATTCTTAAGCCTGCACATTCAATCCAAAATTAATTTCACCTTATCTCAATCGGAAAACAATCTAGATAGATTAAAAAGGTAATGCAGAAGGCCCAGATGGAAAAATTAGACTAATAAGTTTTAAAGAAATAACCACTACAATTATCATCTAACAAGCATTCCTTTATGTTTAACTTTTTAAAGTAATTACTTCCTGGAGAATTACTACTTAGGAGGGTAGAGAAACAAATTTGAATTTTGATAACTGAAATGCAATTTCACTGATAAACAATGATAAATAAGATGGAACACATCTGAATGTATAAAATTTTAAAAATGGTTGAAAGCACAAAAACTGACATACATTTAAAAATTCTGTCTCAGTGAAGAGAAAAAATAAATTCTGTCTGAGATGGAAATTCATGGGTTCTAACTCCCTGCTTCCTGTAATGATGTTGGTGTTTCCAGCCTGTTCTCTTATCCAATGAGCTGTCATGACATGTCTAACTCCTCACACCTTGCATTTAATTTTCTCTTTAGAGCTCTAAAGAACACTTATCCTATTCAATCTGGAAATTTTAGTCTATGACTTCTTTTTTTTTATGCAGAATTTCATTGTTCAGCAGCTGAATAAATCACTTTCTTATTTTCTGGGACTCTCAGATCCACAAAAGAATGACAATTGGCAATGGGTTGATCAGACATCTTACATGGAAAATGTGAGGTGAGTACAGACTCACATTAATGAACTATGGGCTTTGTTTACATAAAAATGTAGGGAAAATTTGTTCATAGTCACTGTTAATGCTAATACTGACAATTATATTGATGCAGACAGATTCTAACAATTACTAAGCTCTTACTGAGTATATACATTGCCACACTTCAACTTCATGAAAACTTTATTTATTTTTATTTTTTTTAATTAAAATATATCTTTATTGATTTCAGAGAGAGGAAGGGAGAGGGAGAGACAGAGATAGAAACATCAATGATGAGAGAGTCATTGATTGAGCCCGCAACCTGGGCATGTGCCCTGACCGGGAATCGAACCCTGATCCCCTGGATTCTAGGTCGATGCTCAACCGCTGAGCCATGCCTGGCCGGGCTGAAAACTTTTTTAGAACTCATCTTACTGATGAAAAATGGATTAACTTTTCTGAGGTTAATAACTAGTAAGATGAGAAACAGGGCCTCAACTCCATGTCTAACTCCTAAGATGGTTCTCTTAATCATTACAGTTTGCTGCCTCTGAACATCTGTAGACACTTCAATTAAATTTTACTTCAATTAATAAGACTTAAAATATCTGTCAGAACTGTGTGCAATTCTTAGAGGATAATTATGTAGTAATACTATTTGTGGCTTTGAAAAAAATCTAGAATTTAATTATACATGATCTCATGTGATGCTCACATAATCTTATGAGCTATTTGGGGACCTGATTACAATTCCTATTTTTATAAATGAAGAACCAAATATCTGATGAGAATAAATTATTTTCTTATGATCAAAATAAGTTAGGAGCAAAACCAGGTCTCTTAATTCCAAAAACAAAGTCCTACCTCCCCACCTGGACCCCCTCACCCTTACTACAGATTGTATTCCTTGTAGGCAGGGTAACTTCTTATGACTAGACTCAAAGCTCCATGAGAATATAGGAATTTAGGAAGATGGTCAGAGTACACAAATTAAGCAAACAGCCTCTTTATTACCTGCCACTAAGAAATGAAAATTTTAACAACTCAGATCAGGATAAGGGCTCTTTATAGAGGAAGAAGTAAAGACCAGATTTTAGGTGAAAGGTCAAGATTACTCTATTTCATAAAAATTTGCCAAGAATGTGTTAGAGGAGCAATTATAAAAGTGTGTGTTTACACTTGGGGTTTTGAGGAGGGCAGTATGAGGAGAGATCAGTCACTGGGGTGTTCTTTCACTCTGAACCCCATTCTCTTCAACCTCCAACACCATATACTTTCTAATCAATCACTATACATTCATTGAAGTGTTTTTATCTTCTGTTTCTCTTTAGATTATGGCACCACGGTGAGCCCAATTTTCCTGGAGAGGACTGTGCTTCAGTGGTTTTCTGGAATCCTAGAGGGTGGGGCTGGAATGATGTTTTCTGTGATTCTAAAAGAAGTTCAATATGTGAGATGAAGAAGGTTTTTCTATGAATAGAACTATATTCATTGTCACATTTTAAATGGAGACCTATTATAAAATGATAATTTCCTCTTGTGATTTATGTATAATTATTATCATAGAGTTTCATGGAAATATCCAGATGCCTTACTTTCTTTTCTTTTAATTTATCTTTATTGTTGACAGTGTTAAAGATGTCCCCTTTTTATTCCCCATTGATCCCCTCTACTCCTCATCCAAGATGCCTTACTTTTTTTAATCGTTGCTTTTATAGTTTCCTCTTTTCCAATAATGGTAGGATGAACTCTTCTTTTTTGGTATTTTTCTTTAATTTTTTATGCATTCTTTACTTCGTTCATACTTCTTTTTACAAACATTTCTTGGGCAAGGGATGGTACTATTTTGTCTATCAGAACACTTATAAGGAGGTAACTATTGAAAATTAAGATGGATGTTTCTCGAAGTGCCATTGATAAATTCTTTTGGGCAAAATAGTAACTGAGACTGTAGTCATGTGGAGGCCTGGCAAGAGCTGAAGGATCTGCTTCCTAGAAGTCTCACTCTTATGGCTGGCAGCTTGGTACTGGCTTTTGCCAGAAGGCCTCAGATCCTCACCACAGGAGGTTTCTTGAGTGTTCTCATAATATGGTGACTGGCTTCCAACAGAGCAAGTAATCCAAGACAGCAAGTGAAAGTAGCAATGCCTTTTATGATTTAGCCTCAGAAGTAAAACACTTTAACTTCTGGTGCATTCAATTGATCACATAGACCAAACCTGATATACTAAGAAGTGGATTACCCAAAGGCACGAAGAGCAGATGAAAATCACTGAGAGCTATCTTATAGGCTGGCTACCTTAGCAGAATTTCTTTAAAAAATATGTGTACCAAAAAGGAAATTAGTTAAAAATTCTTCTACACTAAAAGATGAACTTGTATTCATCAAAACACTATAAAAATTTTAAAAATAGAACTGAAAGAAGATATTTCAAATATTTATAACAAACAGTATTAATACAAAGAGCATACAATGGTCACAAATGAATTAGAAACACAGAAAAATGGACAAAATATTTAAAAAGCATTTCACAGAGGAGGAAATACCTAATCCAATAAAGATGTTTTATAGAGATGCTAAGCTTCACTCATAATTTGAGACTGCAAGTAAGACCACAGTGATGACATAATAAATCAATTAGAGTAAGCAAATGATTTAACATATTTGAAGAAGTCCTTAACATTATTTTTGAATGTACATTTGCTTGTTTGTTTGTTTTTTCTCCATATAAAGGAAAAGGCTTTTAAATCTTTGAGAATTTTAGCCCTTAGCAATCCTACTTCTTTTGAAGTGAGTTTTACATTTGACATTTTCCAGTCTTTCAGAGTGATGAAGGTCTAACTTCTCTGAATAAATCCAGGTTTCTTGGATAAAAACTTCGGGGAAACAGACATAAGAGTTCCTAGTATGTCTCGCTATGAAAGCGCATACACAGTATTTCTAAAAAACACACACAAAGTGGAAGTGAGAACTTACTTTCGTTTTAGTTCTAGATAGGGGAATTGAAGTAAAACCAAGAATTGAAGATTAGGAATTGATGTTGATTCCAAGAGTGATATTGTATAAAGTAAGTAAGTAAGTGAGAAAATTGCGAAGTTAGTTGGTTATAGTATTAAAATAGAGAATAGAGCACAATAGTAGGTAGGAAAAGGAAATTAGAAAAATAACTCAGACATGAGCACTAGAAAGGGTAAGAAAAACACATACCATGGTTCAAGACGGTGATGTAGGAAAATCCCGAACTCACTTCTTCCAACTGACAAATGGAATCTACACCTACACACTGAACAATTTTCTCTAAAAGAAGCCCTGAAACTAGCTAAGCAACTCTTACGCACAAGGCGAATGAGGAAAAACTCTTATCAACATGGGAAGGAGAGGCTGAGACACAATCTTGCCATAAACCCCACCCAGGCATGGTGACCTACATTCGAAGGGTCCCAACTTATCCCTGAGGAAATAAGGGCTTGAACCCCACATCTGGCACCACAATTTTTAAGTCCTGCATCCAAGAGATGGACTCCTAAAACATCTAGCTTTTTTTTCTTTTTTCTTTTAAAATTTATCTTTATTGTTGAAAGTATTATGGATGTCCCCCTTTTCCCCCCATTGATCCCTTCCACCATGCATCCACCCAAACCCCAGGCCTTTCCCATACCAATGTCTGTGTAAATGGGTTATGCATATAAGCATATAAGTTCTTTGGTTAATCTCTCCTCACTCCCACCCCTGCCTTCCCTCTGAGATCCCTCAGTCTGTTCCATGCTTCTATGTCTCTGGATCTATTTTGTTCATCAGTTTATTTTATTATATTCCACATATGAGAGAGATCATGTGGTACTTCTCTTTCTCTGACTGACTTATTTTGCTTATCATAATACTCTTTAGTTCCCTCCATGCTGTCTCAAAGGGTAAGAGATCATCCTTTTTTACAGCTGCATAGTATTCTGTGCTGTAAATATACTACAGCTTTTTTATCCACTCATCTACTGATGGGCACTTGGGCTGTTTCCAGATCTTAGCTATTGTAAATTGTGCTGCTATGAACATAGGGCTGCATAAGTTCTTTCTGATTGGTGTTTTGGGTTTCTTAGGNGGGGTGCATAAGTTCTTTGTGATTGGTGTTTTGGGTTTCTTAGGATATATTCCTAGAAGTGAGATCACTGGGTCAAATGGCAGTTCCATTTTTAATTTTTTGAGGAAACTCCCTACTGCTTTCCATAGTGGTTGCTCCAGTCTGCATTCCCACCAGCAGTAAACTAGGGTGCCCTTTTCTCCACACCCTCACCAGGACNTTCTCCATACCCTCACCAGGACTTGTTTGTTGACTTGTTGATGGTAGCCATTCTGACAGGTGTGAAGTGATACCTCATTGTGGTTGTAATTTACATCTCTCTGATAATTAGTGACTGAGTGTTTTCTCATGTGTCTCTTGGCCATCTGTATGTCCTCTGTATGTCCTCTTTGAGAAGTGTCTATTTAGGTCCTTTGCCCATTTTTTAATTGGGTTGTTTGTCTTCCTTTTGTTAAGTTGTATGAGTTCCTTATATATTTTGGATATTAACCCTTTATCAGATGTGTCATTGGCAAACATGTTCTCCCATACAATGGGAACCCTTTTCATTTTGTTGATGGTTTCTTTTGCTTTGCAAAAGCTTTTTATTTTGATGCAGTCCCATTTGTTAATTTTCTCCTTTGTTTCTCTTGCCCTAGGAGATGTATTGGCAAANTAGTTTCTCTTGCCCTAGGATATGTATCAGCAAACATATTGCTATGAGATATGTCTGAGATTTTGCTGCCTACGTTTTCTTCTAGGATTTTTATGGTTTCATGTCTTACATTTAAGTCTTTTATCCATTTTAAGATTTATTTTTGTGGATGGTGTAAGTTGGTGGTCTAGTTTCACTTTTTTGCATGTACCTGTCCAATTTTCCCAACACCATTTATTGAAGAGACTATCTTTACTCCATTGTATGTTCTTACCTCCTTAGTCAAATATTAATTGAGCATAATGGCTTGGGTCAATTTCTGGGTTCTCTGTTCTGTTCCACTGACCTATATGTCTGTCCTTGTGCCAGTACCAGGCTGTTTTGATTACAGTGGCTTTGTAGTATAATTGATTTCTGGTATTGTGATCCCAACAATTTTGCTCTTCTTTCTCAAGATTGCTGTGGCTATTCGGGGTGTTTTTTGATTCCATATAAATTTTTGAAGTGTTTGTTTTAGATCTGTGAAATATGCTGTTGGTGTTTTAATAGGGATTGCACTGAATTTATAGATTGCTTTGGATAGTATGGACAGTTTAATGATGTTAATTCTTCCAATCCTTGAACATGGTATATTCTTCTACTTGTTTATGTCTTCCTCTCTCTTTTTGCAATGTCCTATAGTTTTCTGACTACAAGTCTTTTACTTCCTTGGTTAAGTTTATTTTTAAGTATCTAAATTTTTCTGTTGCAATGGTAAAAAGGATTGTTTTTTAGTTTCTCTTTCTGAGAGTACATTATTGGTGTATAAAAATGTCATCAATTTCTGGATTTTAATTTGATATCCTGCTACCTTGCTGAATTCATTTGTTAAATCTAGCAGGTTTTTAAAAATTTTTTATTAAATATAGTTTTATTGATTTCAGAGGGAGGAAAGGAGAGGAAGAGAGAGACACAGAAACATCCATGATGAGAGAGTCACCGATCGAGCCCGCAACCCGGGCATGTGCCCTGACCAGGAATTGAACCCCGATCGCCTGGATCCTAGGTCAACGCTCAACCGCTGAGCCACGCCCGGCCGGGCAAATCTAGCAGTTTTTAAATGGAGTCTTTAGGGTTTTCTATGTACAATATCATGTTATCTGCAAATAATGACAGTTTTACTTTTTTCTTTCCAGTTTGGATGCTTTTATGTTTTCTTCTTGTCTGATCACTGTGGCTAGGAGTTCCAGTAGTATGTTGAATAAGAGTGGTGAAAGTGGATACCCCTGTCTTGTTCCTGTTCTTAGGGGAAATGCTTTTAGTTTTTGCCCATTGAGTATGATGTTGGCTGTAGGTTTGTCACATATGGCCTTTATTATGTTGAGGTATGATCTCTCTATTCCCACTTTGCTGAGAGTTTTTATCAAAAATGGGTGTTGGATTTTATCCAATGCTTTTTCTGCATCTATTGATATAATCATGTTATTTTTGTGTTTCAGTTTGTTTATGTGACGTGTCATGTTTATTGCTTTGCAAATATTGTACCAGCCTTGCATCCCTGGAATAAATCCCACTTGGTCATGATGCATACACAATTTACTAATATTTTGTTGAGGATTTTAGCATCTATGTTCATCAGGGATATTGGCCTGTAATTCTCTTTCTTTGTAGTGTCTTTGTCTGGTTTTCGTATTAGGCTAATGCTGGTCTCATAAAAAGAGCTTGGAAGTGTTCCTTCCTCTTGGATTTTTTGGAATAGTTTGAGGAGGATAGGTGGTAGTTCCTTT